GTTCGCGTTCAATAATAAATTCCACCATATAGGCAATTATTCAAGCACAAAAGTTCATTTAAATCGGGCGCGTCCAACCACATCCACCGCTCGCTAGTAAACAATGCAATCATGCACGCTGCATTTGTTTGTATGTATGAATTTACAACAGAGAAATTTCTAATTCAATGCTTAATTTTCTTAATAACAACGCCCTTGACTTACGATCCAAGAAGAGATAAGCAAGAGTTAGAGACGGGAACATAGGCAAATCAGAGATAAGCACAAGATGGCCTGATTGTGATCAGCATTTGCAGATGAATATATGTACGAGTATATAGATCTTTAAATCTACATATATATGATGGGGGTTAACAAGCTGGAAAAATGAAAAAAATCTTAAGAAATGTTGAACATTCGAGCTTTAAGAAGTTGAAAACATCTAGTAAATTTATTTTTTTCAAATATTGACATGTTAGGAAATTTAATATTTGAATTGCGTAAAATAGCAAAAAAGGAAAATTCTTATAAATAACTACCTGAGGTCAATTATGCGGAAAAAGTTGAAAATGGTGGTTTGTTTGGCAAATTACTTTAATAAATTTTTTTTAAGGAATTTTATTAATTTCGGTGAACAACTTTGCTTCCGCCGTTATCCGATAGGTGGCTGTACCGGCTGAGGCTGGTTGAAATACATAGATCACAATGCCTTTAAAGTGAGTATGGACAGTGCCTAATGAATTGTCATCACCGTTTCAGTGACAGTTGTTCTTGTTTTCGTATTATTCACGCTCGGAAATGTCCGTTTATGTGGCTAATTCTCGCCATTTGCGGGAAGTTTTGCTTTTCTGTTACAATTCGAAAAAAATGCAGCAGAAGCGCATCGAATGCTCTCCGAAACTTACGGTGATGCCTCTCTGAGTGAAAGAACGTATCGGGAGGGGTTTCAACGTTTTAAAAATGGTGATTTCGATGTCGAAGACAAACAAGGTTATGATTTGTATTTGGTGGGATCAGCTCGGTGTTATTTACTACGAGCTCTTAAAAACGGGCGAAACCATCACAGAAGATCGCTACCGAACGCAACTGATGCGCCGTAGTCGCGCGCTAAAAGAAAAGCGGCCACAATATCAAGAGCAACATGACAAAGTCATCCTCCAACACGACAATGCTCGGCCTCACGTCGCAAAAGTGGTCAAAAAGTACCTGGAAACGCTGAAATGGGAAGTCTTGCCCCACCCGCCGTATTCCCCAGATGTCGCCCCTTCTGACTTCCACCTATTCCGTTCGATGGCACACGGCCTGGCAGATCAACATTTTCAATCCTTCGAAGAATTGGAAAAATGGATTGCTTCATGGATAGCGTCAAAAGAGGACTCCTTCTTTCGAGCCGGGATCCGAGAATTGCCGGAAAGATGGGAGGCAGTTGACGCTAGCGAAGGACAATACTTTGAATAATATATCTGTAAGCACTTTTTCGCAATAAAGCTTTTAATTTTGGGAAAAAACGGCGGAAGTAAAGCTGTACACCGAATAATCTCATTATAAAAATAAATTCCGTGGAATTCGCAGTGAAAAGATAATTTTTTTTTTAAACAAAAACTTATATGAAAATTTATAATAATTAAGCACACTGTAATGAAAATCAACCAGCAGACTTCTAGGTGCCTTGTACGAAAATTGTATGTCTTCAATGTTTATGGGCGCCTTTCATGTAGTTTATGTAAAAGTCTACTTGCAATGACGTCAGTTGTTAGACTATTGATAACATTTAACCACTGAGACTTTTCATAAGTGAGCACTGCTGAAAGCAGCTCAACTGCAATATATTGTCATGGACGACATTGACAGTTATAGTTCGCTAGTCGGTATGTAAAGGGTGTGTTTTCGGAATTAATCATTTTGAAAGCTCCAATAATATGGCGCAGCATGCCATACAGATATACAGATTAAAAAAAAGATCAATTTATTGTAGGAAACTTTTAGTTCCGCTGGACAATATTTGTGGGGTTTTGTGAAGTCCTTTGTCTACGCAGAAAAGCACAAGAAAATTTACGCCTTGGATGAAACTATTCGTCACATTATTGGGAATTAATTCGACTCAGCCACGGCAATTACTTGCCGAAAATCATTTATAAAACATAACGACAAGCCTCTAACTTTATAATAAAGCTAAATTCTTGGTCATACTGTTAAATTTAATGCGTTTTGTTTCTACTTCAAAACCGCATATCTACAAGAAACACTCTTTATTTATCGAACACTGTTTGAGTTCTATTACGCATATATTTATGCATAACTATATACATACATACATATGTATGTATAGATGAGTGTACATAAATTGATATTTATGCATACTATACTCGTCTACTAAAAAATTTCAATTTCGATTAATTAAACTTGTAATATACTACATACATAACACAAGTATCCACATGCACCCAACCATACATAAATAATCTATTGTAGAATTAATAAATTTATTAAAGAGTATTAGCGTAGATACTCTACTTTCAAACTACATGTTTTTATGAATATGAATATATTATTATGAAAATACATACATATGGTACTTCTCCTCCAGTAGTGAAAGTCAAACTAGTATAGATAACGTCCAGCCAATTACCAGTATTTCAAAGATAAAATCCTACCAGTTCGCATATGTTCACAAATCACAGTTATCGCATTCGCCACTCGGATCCTACGTCACTGTTGACAGTAATAACTTTGTAGTCGTATACAATTTCGTCTATTTTGGACCCAGGTTAACACCAACAATAATAGCAGCCTTTAAATCCAAAGCAGAATCAATATTGCCAGCAAGTACTTCTTTGGATCGAATAGGAAATTGAAAAATGAAGTCGTCTCTCGACGAGCATTGACCAAACTTTAGGGTCAGCCAACATTGGCGTCCTGCTATATGGAGCGAAAACATGTTCGAAGACAACATCTCATGAATCGACGTTAGATGTTTTCGATGGAAAGCTTTTGAGTAAGATTTATGGTACTTTGTAAGTTAAGAACGGCAAATATAACATCTCAGCCGATGGTACGATGAGCTGTACGAGATATATTGCGACGTTGACATAGTTCCGCGGGTGGGTGACTACGATGGCTAGGTCATGTGGTCCGTATGGATGAGAATACGCCAGCATTCAGCAGAGAAAGACGAAGACATCTACTCCGTTGGAAAGATCAGGTGGAGAGCACCCTGGTTTCACTTGATATTTCCGACGGACACCAAACAGCGAAAAGAAGGAATGGCGCGCTCGTGTTTTATATACCAGTTGCTGACATGAATTATGAACTAATTAATGGATAAATCCAAACTATAATAACGATGATATTTTCCTGCAGGGTCTATATGCAACTAAATACATGCATTTATCAATATATGAATAAGTACAATACGTTCATAAGGCTAAACTATTCTGATTTGAAAAATTTTCCAAATTACCGTGATTTGAATACATAATTAGTAAGTCGCTGTTATCGCCAATGCTTAAATGAACTAAGTTTTCCAAATGGGGAATAGCAGATGCTATTATGAATATGTTTTTCGAGTATGTATATAAAAATTATTACAAAATGTTTTGAATTGGTAAATTAAGTTCTGATCAAAGTATGCAAGTTTATACCAGAAGAAGAGATAGACCCTCCACACTTTATACCGATCGGATCAGCACGACGAGCTGAGTTAATTTTGCCATGTTTACTGTCTGCCTGTGTGTATATGCGGATATATTTTTATACTGGTTTGATTATTTGGTACTGGCTAAATAACATACCCAAATTCGACCAGTTTTTTGGACTTCAAAAATCTGTCAAAAACGCATCTAAGAGCGTGAAATTGGATATTCACACACGAAAATTCATATAAATGTTGATACTGAAAACCACTGAAATCGGAAGACTATGTCGTAAATATATGTGTACATGTATAAGATAAAGGGGAAACAACAATAAAAAAATAATAATAATAAACCTTGTTTCCATTTCCACATTCACAAGTTTTCCTGTGGATTCGGATTGAAATCTTATACATAATTCATGCTCCGACTTTCATATCCACATAAATTTTTGTGAACTGAATCCGAGTGCTCTGTGGTGAGAGAGTTCAAAAGTAATGGCCAAAGTGTTGCCATGCTTTAGTTTTTCCTCTGGAAATTGTTTTCTAACATTTTCTGATATTTGCAGAACTTTTTTTAATCATCGTTCAAATAATTATTCATATCTTAAAGGATATGTGACAGAGATAATAAAGTTGACGGAAATGAGAGCGAGTCAATTCACTCTCACAGGCAATTTTGGAATTCACACGGCTGAATATTTAAACCTAAGCTGCAATACAAATTGGAAATGCACCCCTTTCTTATTTAAAATAATTGTAGTGAAGCAAAACATATTCTTCATCAACTGAAATATGAGTTTATTTTCCGCAGATAAGCAGTTTTAATCTCTCTCTTGCTTTTCATGACCCGTCGGACTTATTATTATTATTATTATTATTATATTATTCCCTATTCACTCACATAATGTGCCCAAGTGTACAGAAGCACAGAAAAGAATAGATCTCTAAACCGAAAATGCGTGTAAAACGACAAATGAAATTTGTAATCAATCATATTGACCTACACTTAGAGTTGAAAATGAGAAAAACCTCTCTGAAATAATAATCACACATCTTAATTATTCTAATAAACAATATCTCACAAGAAAAGAATCAGTATTGGGTTCAAGTGAAGAGATGTTAATAATATGAATACGGTAGAATGAGAAAAACAAGTTACGAAAAATAAAAAAGCAATATATAAATATTTATAATCAATAATCAAGTCAAAATTAGCTGCACGCAAATATTTATATGTCTACCGGAGCAGGAAAATAAATTAAGCAATTTTTCTTTAAACATATTGAAGGAAATGCACTACTAAGCTTCGAAAACGGATAAATAGGGATGTAGTGAAAATTCTGTATATATTATATCATTTAAAATCTCACGCCTGGTCATTTGATACCTCATATATTTGATTCAATACTCTCACCCGCTCCACCAAACTTTCCGCACGTCGTGCAAAGCTTGCGCGTCGCTGTTCGGCCGTTGTTTGTTTTGGACCACGATTTACCACCGAAATTGGTGTGGGTTGGGGAGGTAGTTGTGATGAATTGGACATTGTAAGGCTGAAAGTGAAAAATTGAATTTTTTTTTTTAGTTTCTTCAATATGCAAAACAAAAAAATTTTGTATTCTCTTAGTATACAAATTTTTATTTTGTTAAAAATTATGTTATTGAATCTTAATTGAATGAAAGTCTCTTAATATTTTTTACCCATAGTACTATGTATATATATGTATAAATATAAACGAGTATATATGTATATAATTGGCGTTTTGTAATCGCTGAAGCGATTTTTGGCCGAGCACATCCTCCAATTTGTGGTTTTGCGTCTTGTTGATGAAGGATCTGCAGTTTATATGAAGCCTCCTCTGAATGGCTGATGTTTTTATGAGGAGCCTTTATTTTGTGTCATAAATACATTAGAAGGAGTTGACAAATGCCAAATTCCAATGCCGGTTCCCATACAAACGCTCACCAAGTTTCTTTTAAATATCTCAAAAACTGAGGAACTTGAGTGCAAACAGACAGTTGGACAAAGAGACGGAATATTTCTTTTACTTTTGGTATTGTTACCTCGGACCAAAGTTAATATAACATTTCATGTTCATGAAAGGTATGTGTGACAAATAGCGAAGAATGCTTAGCGTTCCGTTAAGTAAACTTCAAAATTTTGTATTATTACTACGTGCAAGCTATTACGTTTGTACTTTTATCTGGAGCAGTATGTTAATTATAAGACTTACAAACAGAGGCATATGAGTTATCAGTTATGTTATTTATGCAAAAATAGTAACAAATAGAGTTAGAGAGTGAAATTCACTTATGTTCGTAAAATACCCAACACAAATAAAATAAAATATAAAAGCGTAAAGAAATAAGACCACTGAAAACTAAAAAGCTTATTCCTAACTGTACCTTCATAATTTTGAGTACATACAAGAAAGGACGACACCCACTTTTAGATCTACTCCACTTTTGTATACTTTTTTTCATATATTTAAAATATGTAAGTATTTATAAATAAAAATTTCCTTAAATTTTAAAAGCCGGATATGGCCGGACAATAATAAAAAACGTATAAACATGAAATGACATATCTGACAACTGTAGCAGATTTTTCTGATTTAAGAATTTCGGTCATAAATTTGTCAAAAAGGTGTCTGAGTATGTGAAAATTTGGTATACTGCACAAAAATTATATATATCGGTAAAATTTATCATATAACCCCCTCCAATCAATTGTTTAGATATGAGAACTAATATTTAATTCTTTTAAAAGGTATAGACTTTGGGCATGCTCAAAGAGATCTCTTCTTGCTTTTTTAAATTGCAAGTGCCACTCGACAGGGAGCAAATATTAAAATATTAGGTTGTCAAATATCCCTTCCGCTTTTTTGTCTTTTGAATTTCGCGGCTACAGAGCTCGTATCTGGCAACACTATACATAATTTGAAAGGTCTTGACATAACCTACAAAACAACGATATGCATGATTTTTTAAAGTTTTCCTTCGTTAAAGGCAAATCCGCTAGGGAAACGTTCCGTTAGATTGATGGCGTTTTGGGGGATAGTGCTCTATCACTTCGAACCGCGGAGAAATGGTTTCGACGATTCAGAGCCGGTGAAAACGACACCATGGATAAGCCAGCCAACGGAAGACCTGTGACGACAAATACCGATCAAATCATGGAATACATCGAGTTAGACCGGCATATGGCATCTCGTGACATCGCCCAGGAGATGGGAGCTAGTCACCACACCATTTTGAACCATCTGCAGAAGGCTGGATACAAAAAAAAGTTTGATATGCTGCGATATGCTGCTGAAACGGAACGAACTCGACCCATTCTTGAAGCGGATGGTAACTGGCGACGAAAAATGGATCACATACGACAATATCAAGCAAAAACGGTCGTGGTCGAAGGCCGATGAATCGTCCCAAACAGTGGCCAAGCCGGGATTGACGGCCAGGAAGGTTTTGCTGTGTGTTTCGTCTGATTGGAAGGGAATTATCCACCATGAGCTGCTCCCATATGGCCAGACGCTTAATTCTACCATCTACTGCGAACAACTGGACCGCTTGAAGCAGGCGATCGACCAGAAGCGTCCAGAATTGGCCAACAGGAAGGGTGTAGTGTTCCACCAGGACAACGCCAGACGACACACACCGTTGATGACTCTTCGGAAACTACGGCAGCTCGGATGGGGGGTTTTATCGCATTGTGAAAAGTGGCTGTCCGAACTCTTCGCAAATAAGGAGGTGGGCTTCTACGAGGAAGGTATTATGAAGTTGCCGTCTAGATGGAAACAGATCATCTAACAAAACGGCGCATATTTTAACTAAATCCGATCACTGTAACACTTTTTATAAAGCATTGAATGAAGAGCAAAAGAGCAGATATTTGACAACCTTATATTTTGGGTATTTTATATAATATAGGTGTAGTAAAAATAAATCCATTATTTTTCCAATACATTGCATAATTTATCCATATCTCGCGTTGTTAAGTCCGGTCGGGTTCCGCTAGCGTTGGAAGAAGGACAAAAAAAATCGTTTGGAACCATTTGAATAATGCTGTCTACGACAAGAAACTCGATGGTGCCACACGAGTTAACGCAAACAAAACTTATGCACCGGTTTTCTATCTGCGAATTACCCCTAAATCGCAATAAAATCAACTCATTTCAGAAGCGGTTGGTGACTGGCGTTGAAAAGTGGATCACCTACGACAAAGCCAAGCGAAAACTGTCGTGGTCGAAACGCGGTGACCACGCGGAAACGGCGGTACGGTCAAGAGGGTTTGCTGTGTGTTTGATGGAATTGGCAAGCATTCTTTTGGAGGTTCTTATGCAATTACCTTATAGTTCCTAGCACCAAATGATTACCATCGATTCCTGTCCATGGCGAACCAATTCGCTTCAAGAGAGGCTTGTGAAAATCGACTGTTTTAATTTTTTGACAATATAAACGAGGGCATAATGAAATTACCTTTGAAATGGCAACAAGTTACCGAATGAAACGGCGCATATTTAACCTAAATCGGATCATTCTAACCATGGTAATTAAAGCTTAATTTTCATGCAAAAATTCCTTTTACTACACCAATTTTTTTTTTAAGTTTAAAAAATTTCCGAATTCTTGCAAATCAGAATGTATGAAACCAAAAAGATTTCCGATTCTTTTATGACGAGTTTGAGTCAGACACCTAAATACTCGTAACTGTGTATGTGATGAAAAACAAAATGTTTGGAGGGTATGTATATTAGGGTGGATCAAAAACACGAATTTTAGAATCCGGATTCGGGGGGGTGTGGAGAACTTGTGTAACTGTATCAAAATAGAGCACAAAAAGTTGTATCCGCACTCTGGATTCTGGATTCTGAAATTCATTGTTTTCGATCCACCCTAAAGTATAGACATAAACGTGTCTATATAATTATTGTATATTGTATTATTAGCCACAAATCGCACCATTTAAACACATTGGAAAATAAACTATTATAAATAATATATAACGCAGTATTTGTATGAGATATGTGTACTTATACACAGACATATGTATATGTGATACGACATAGGTATGTAGGTGTGTATTGATAAAAAGAAGAAAAAAAGTTACACAGGAAAGAAAAGTTCTACGTTACGTATTATATATATGAGCATATATATATATATATATAATACATATGTTTTGCCTCCATATATATGTACATAAATATAAATGTACAAATAAACATACACCTAAATACATATGTATATGTGAACGTAAATATGTATGCATACAAATATTTCACAGTTCATCGCCTAAACTTGACTGCATACGAAAGACGAAAGAAAAAAGAATATCGAAATTGCTTCATGCAGTTCTTCGCTAGTGTGTTGTTGTTTGCATTTCTTTTCTGTTTTATATTTGGTTATATTTATATTTTTGTTAAGCAGCGAGAAAAAAAACTCGACTATACGGCAGCAATATGTCAATGTAACAGACGTGATTCCTTATTGTTGCATTAAAAGCCAGCCAAATGAATATACATACGTATTTACATATAGTACTTTTGTATATACGTAAATACAGATATGTTTAGGTGCATACACGCCGCCGTTTACATAGGAGTACATGTGTGTAAGTGTAACAACAGCCAGCTAGATTAAATCTATGCACTTCAACTTTGAAATTTTTCTGTTTACCGACTTTCGTTGGCGGTATGATACCTGTGTGTATGTATGTATGCGTTAGTGAAAATAAGAAAAGAAAAGAAATTGCCAAAAATCAAATTAGACATAAACTTAAGTGCCATGTGGTCGTAAGAGGAAAAAATATGCATAACGATTGAAAACAGCGAAAGTAAAAGGAAAGCAAATTAATTCGCGCGAAAAAGTAATTTGAAATAAATAACAACATTTTTAGAAATACTTTACTGTCGACAAAGCGACGGTTAGAGATTTAATTAATCTACGCGCGCAAGAGGAAAACAATTAAAATTGTATATTTACGTTTTCGCAAGATATGCTTAGCCTGTTTACATTTGGTGGGAAAACAATAATGCAATTTTTAAATTTTGATATGTTTGCCTAACAAGTAAATTAAATTAATTTTGTACATATTTATTATGTGAGTAAAAATGAATTTAAATTTATATTCTGCCAAAATTATCTAACTACATAAATTAAATTAATCTAATTATCTATCCCGGTGCCACCAACATGCAAAAAGTTATTGAAAATTAATTTAAGTAAAAATTAAATTTATTAATTGCGGCCGCCCCTCGGCAGGGAATGTCCACCCCTCCGAGTGTATTTCGGACATGAAATAAAGCTCTTCATAAAAAACCATAATCCGTTCGGAGGCGGCTTAGTCCCTCAATTTGTTGGAAAAACATCAAGACGTAAAACCACAAATTGGAGGAGGAGCTCGGCCAAAAAAAAATCGCTTCTAACTACTTCTTAGGAATAAAACACGAAAAAAACATGTTCAAGAAAATTTATATGCGGTTTTTGAATTGAATTCTTTTTTTAAATAATCTTGTAATATGTGAAGAGTTCTTGACTTGACCAAAACACTCTTTTGAAGAGAAAATTCCACTAAAGTAAGGATGATACAATTTTTATCTTATTGAATTTCAAATATCAATCAATTCAAAAATTGTTTTAATAGTTTACCGTTTTTAGTTGAACAGCTAGTTTTTTCTAATAATAATTATTTAAGGCACTGTATTTCTTTATTAAAAATTCACTTTTCACGTGTAAATTGTAGGCGTATATACAGTTTTTCTTTTGGTTTTCAGGTTCCGAATTCACATTTCGATATAAATTATACTTTACAATAAGAAGAAAGTAAATTTTGTTAAACAAAAGGTTTAAATACTACAAATTCACACGGCCAATATTATTTTCCAAGAGCGATTAACTCACGATTCCGCCAAGTGTTTCAAAGTACTGAATTCTTAAAAGTATGAACAATATAGTTTGTTTTGTAGTCAAACGCTCTGCGCTGCGTTGAGCGGGCAAAACATACTGCCGATAGTCACACATATGTATGAATTAATGTACATTTATATAAAACACACAAATGTATATATTTATTTAACAGTGGCGTTTCAGCTAGCGCATCCGACGTCCGATTAGACGGTTGCAGTAGAGCAGCGAATTCTTAGCGAAGAAATGAACATCTTATGGTATGTTCTACTAAGACTAAGTATGTAGTTACATACGTACAAGCATACATATGCATTGAAACCCTTATGTACTTGTACCTCTATAATAACTATAATATTGGCTTTATAAATTTAATAATTCAATTTCATTCTTTTTTATGCACTTATATTTTGTCGTTTACACAAATAAAATTGTTAATAGATGCTATTAGCTCAATTATTTATACATTTTTACTTAGTGCACATCTGGTGAATAACATATTTTATACTACGACTTTTAATTCAGAAAACTTTAAAAGCGTCAATATTGTAATGAAATTAATTTTATTGCCGTAAATTATGACAATATAGAATTTCAAAAGAAAATCCAGCTTAAGAGCTTCGTATCTACTTCCGAACTTTATTTTTAACTTCAACTTAAATAAACGACTAGGAGTAGAACGGAAACGGAAGCCTTTTTTTAGCTGAAATCACAAAATTCAAGAATTATGACAATTTTAGATAGTTTTAGTTGCAATTGTATTTCAATTAATGTAAAGTAATCCCTTTGATCAGAATTTATGATAGGAATTTTAAAAAAATTCTAATTTATGTGCTTTAATTATGCCTTTGTTGTCTTTTACGAATACAAAATTTATCACATGTACTATCCTGTGTTTTGTATTTTTCTTATTCGTTCTCTGGTGGCATAATAACATTGCTCTGTTGGCAAATATTTCTTTTATTTTTCATACGACGGTGATATTTATTTCTTTTCGCCTATAAAAGGTGTACATACTCTATATTGTATGCCTTACAATAAATACCACCGATTTTTTACATTAATTATCGAACGAAAGATTTGATTTCTTAAATTAAAGAAAGATATGTTATTATAGCTCAAAAAAGCAGCTTGGCAAAAGTTAGAGGAAAATATTGGCGATAGCGTATTTACTGTGGAGGACGTATAGTTTTAAACCAGCAAAACCTGGCAAAGTGAAAATGGCATCTCGTGGTGGACCAATGGTGGATGGTACTGATGGCGCTGACTTCCAATACAGGCAGCGTGTGGCAGCACCACACCGTATTAGGTTAATAAAAATTTTAAGTTATAAGTTATGGTTCTCCCTCACGTATTAATAGAAAATCAAACAACCTTCTATTTGTTCCTGATACTGTCATTAACCTGCATTTGCTAGGTTTGCATAATTTAACAATGTGTAGTAATACTTAAATGTTTGCCAATTCCGTCGTGTTTCTCGGCAGTTGGTTGCGGGTAGGGAAGGGATAGTGCTTGTGCGGTGAAAGTGTTCGCAAGTGAATTCTTTTACAGGGCGCTGCTCCTATTATCTGTGATTACTGTGCCCAATATTGGCTAATTGCCAGGTTGTGTTTACATTGAATTTTTATGGACAATTGCGAATTGCGAAGTGTCAATGGCGTCTAAACAGCTCCGCCATGGACAGTTTGATGACGTAGATTCGTGGCTGCAGAGGAATGTTGTTTGTGGGTTTTGTACACGTGCTTCCAAATTTATTATCACGAATATAAATATGTGGTGCTGAAATTCATCTGATAGAAAATATCTTTTTACTAATTTTTTTTTTTTAATTTTCTACCACACCACAAAAATATTGAGACAATTTGATCATATTTCTAATAAACTCTTTTTTTTCTTACAGTATGCTGAATAAAAAGCGCCTAACATCTTGCATTTATTGTCATCTTATCCTTCTCATTTTGATGCTTTGCAAACTGACTCCTGACATATTAGATCGAGCAGATGTGTTTGTGCTAGAAGTAGAAGAACTTGAAGTGCCAACACCGCAATGGTGGGAATACATATGGATGATTTCGGTTATTACAATTCCTTTTGGTTTTAGAGCAATGGCCGCAAATAGTGTTCAAAAAATGCAAAAATATATATTAGGCCTCGTTTTGACTGGCGTTTTACCAATAGCATACTGCATGGTATATTATTTTAGTGATTTTTGGGAATTTATTTGGCTGGAAAATAAATTTGATCTTGAAGACACAGATATTGCACTGTGGAATGTAAGTAGCAGGTATATTATTTTTAAAATTCTAAATAACTTAACATTCACAAATTTCAGGGCCTTCCTCTTGGTGTGTTGTGGTATGCCTTTGGTTTTGCTGCTCTTCAAGTACTTGGTTTTACGCTTTACTTTGCTTACAAATGTATTCAAACATGGCGTTCGCGCATTGCTGCAAAGAAAGGAATATAGATCAAAAATCACCAAGAAAGTACTGGGAATACTATTTCGTAAAGGCGCCGGTTTACACATGCGGTCGAATAACTTCTTATCTAGAAACTCGTGCTCTCAATATGTCTGCTATCTTTTTAAATTTTGAAACAAACCCTAAAACTCATCTCGAGAATCTGTATTAGTTTTTCATAGAAACATTTCAGTAAAAATAGGATCATCCTAAAACCTATGTACTTATATCATCAGTTACGAGGAATCATATAAATTAGAAAATGCCTTGGATGGTATCATATTGCTCAAAATGGATAAACAAGCTTTATTTCTTCAATGCTCAATTTTGACATAATCTATATGAGGATGGTTGTATACGTATATGCACATTTGTAGTTCTCAAATACATTGCTCTCAAATCAATAAATCCACAAAGTACATACACGTATGTTCAATAAATACACATTTCTTACAAACACAAATTAATACAATTTTTCGTCATGACCGAATAGTCTTTTGAATTCGAAAAAGGAAATTTTGCCGTTATTTGGTACTAGTTTAAATATTTTTGTTAAAACAAGAAAGATTTAAAACGAAAAAAAAAAACACGAATGATTGAGCTGTTACCGTAAAAACAGGTTGGAGGTTATAACAATACAGTAAAATAAAAAAATATGTGTTGTATATTTTAATGATTATATTATGTGTAATATTGTTAAAAGTTTTACATAATATCAAAAGCACTGCTTTAAAAACAGAGTTTCTAGAGACAATTTTATTAAATTAATGTATGTACATATATATATTTTTTTAAATATGGAAAAGCTTAGAACAGCAAAAAAATTAAGACAGATATACGAATACATACATAGCATGACAAGGAAAAAATAACACCAATATTTTAAAATCTGTTTTTATATAAAACAAACCGGTTCTTGTCTCGTCAATTTAAAATACTCGCATATTTTTAATCTATTTTGTGTTTAATTAAATTGTTTTAAGTGGCTTATTAAACTACACAAACATATCCTACTTGAATTTTTATTACTCTCATACGATAAAACACTGAACTGCCTGATATCATCCTGTTACGTGCCAATATAATTTTTTGTATCGAATGCTTATGTGTGCATAACACATGGAAGCAATACAAAAGTGGGAAAAATTAAATATAAAGAACGACCAAAGATTAAAAAAAGTGTTGCGTACACATGTACATGTACTATATAAAATTGAAAATTTATTATACTATCAATTCGTGTAAGATTTCGTTGTACTGTTCAATTTATGATATTTCAAATAATACAAGGAACAAGTTTTTAATAAAATTACTATTTTAAGTGTGGGTTAAAAGCATTTTATTTGTGTATTTCTTATCCTTTGTACAGTACAAAAGAGTCATCTTAAGGAGAGTCCAGGAGACGAGCTGTATCGACGTGGTCGGACCAAGATAAAAGGATGTTAAGTAAGTGGGTTTTAGGGGGCGTACAAAGAGCTGGTGCTGCAGGGTTTCATTGCATGCAGGTATGTAAGAATTAAGTCGACTACAATGCCTAGATCTTCATTGCGCCAGAATTGCTTGGCCCTCTCGAGGCAGCTTGAGCTCTCCGTTTGAAGAGGGGACTTTAATATGTAAAAAATTAACAGAAACGGGGAGAGGACATCATACTGCGGAATCCTTGATTAATCTTACGGAGTTTGGAAGTGTGACCTCTAAACTTTACTAATTACCCACTCACCTGGCCCTTAGTCTAAATCTTCGACCCGGCTGTAATGAGGAATCCTCAATGTGTCAAATGCTTTCGACAGATCCAGTGCTACCAGAATATTTCGCGCGAAAGATCGGCTGAGATGGTGTGAGAAGGACGGGAGCAGCAAGACCTCAATTGTCTTCACTACTGTGGTTTCTAGTAGTAATACTAAATTCGCATTGTGGAACTCGTTCAATGTTGTGGTTATGTAAAGAAACAGATATTTCCGATATTTAATTTTGGTTAAGATGGTGATGAGTGCAAAGGGAAAGAAGAAACGGAATTTAGATTGAATCAATTTTAAAATATGAGCAATAATCCAAGTTTCTCGACATTTTTCTCAGCGGGTCATGGCTAAAGGGATTTGTTCCATCAGCAAACCAGGCCAACGCGTTTAAAAAATGAAATGAATTCTGAATATAAGCCCCATTCGGCAGGGATATCGTAGACGATTTCGTCTGACAAGAAATCATCGTCATCACTGATAATGATGCCAGCCTCAAAATGCAACACAAAATCAAGTGCTACACTAAATAGACAATTGAAGATACAGTCATCTCTCATTGATTGAGCTCTTTCGAATTAGGTGAAACTTGGACAATGGTCGAAACTTTTTGCAAAAGCCGAAAGTGTTCACCTCTGAAGCGACTTGATGTTCTTCTAACAAATGAAGGGGACATACCAAAATTTTTACCGAATGGATCAGCAAGACGAGCTAAGTCTATTCACGCATGTCCGTCTGTCGGTTTGTTTATACACCTACAAGTTCCTCAGATTTTGAAATATTTCAATTCTACAATGCAATACAATAAAATTGATATGTTCATGAAAGATACATAGGAGCTCCGGCATGCGGTGAAGGCAACAAGATTTTCGAGGTTCTTCAGGTCAGGACTCAATTCCCTTCAGCATGGTAGTACCTACCGCGCACTACTCGGCTATTGCACTAGTGACCTGAAAATAAGACCTCTCATAAAAAGCCGTTCGGAGAAATCGGATTGTTTTTATATATATAAGGAGTGATTTTTTAAGAGCTATAAGAAAGTTTTTCAAAAAAAAAAAACACAAACACAAACACAATTCAGAAAAATGCATGAAATCTTTATTTGAATCGATAGAACGGTCCATATAATTTGAAGACTATTACATGCAAATGGTGACCGTGACTGTGCCTCAAATGATCCATCCGCTTAGTCCAATTTTGGCATACTATTTCCAGTATTTTGGCCGGTATTTCACGAATAAATGCTTCAATATTGTTCTCCAATGCGTCAATTGAAGCGGACATCAGATTTAATATAGCCCCACAAAAAATGGTCTAAAGGCGTTAAATCACACGATCTTCGGGACCAATTGACCGGTCCCGAATGTGAAATAAAATGTCACCGAACCGAATGTCGCCTCTCAGTATGTCCATTGTAATGTGTGCTGTGTGCCATGTGGCACCGTCTTGTTGATACCACAAGGAATGCAAGTCAAGCTCATGCATTTCGGGAAAAAAAGTTTAATATCACCTCACGGTAGCTATCATTCACTGTTACGTTACGATTCGCATCATCTTTAAAGAAGTACAGTCCAATAATGCCACCAGCCCATAAACCCCACCGAAATGTGACTTTTTCTGGATGCATTGGTAGCTCTTGCAATACTTCTGGCTGATATTCCCTCCAAAATCGACAATTCTGCTAATTTACGCACCCATTAAGTCAAAAATGAGCTTCGTGGCTGAACACAATTTTTTTTTGAAGCTTCTTAACAGAGCACGCATTTTGATAATAAAATTCAATAATTTGTTGTTCGTTTGTAAGATGATTCATAGTTAAATTATAGACCAAACTGAAGATGTTTATCAGTGATAACACGAAACGTGGAACAGGTGCTTAAACCAGTGTTGCCAAAAAAAAATCACCCTTAAAAAAAATCACCCTTAAGCGATTTTCAGCCGACCTCCTGCTCCAATTGGTGGTATGCGTCTTGATGTTTTTCGAACAAATGGAGGGACCTACAGTTTATACTAAGCCGCCTCCGAACGGCTGATGGTTACTTTATGAGGAGCTTTATTTCATCGCATAAATACAATCGGAGCAGTTGACATTAACTGCCGAGAGGCGACCGTAATTAGAAAATTTAACTTAATTTTTTATTTAAATAAATTTTCTATAAGTTTTTTTTTGCATGTTAGTACGACACCAGTATTTGAACCCGAGCCTTCCGAATGGCAGTACGCAATGCTAATCACTCAGCCGTTTACTAAAAATACTTTGAAATTTCTTCAATTATAAAATTGCCTTGGACTTTGCGTTTTTCAAAATGTAATTTTTACGTCTTTTTTAACTGACGAAAAAGGAAGTAAACTTTTTGCAGAGTTTGCCGATTTGTATATTTCTTTTCCTATTCTATGTAACCCTTTCCAAAATTGATCTCAAAATTATTAATTATTTATTAAGGCTAAAAAAATAATTTATTAAAAAATAATTTATTATTTTTTTACTTCTTAAAATTTTGGCGTTTGCATTTTATAAAAGTTTTTTTTTTTTTTAATATTTAATTCAAAAAGTTGTACCAAAAAGGCCGTTACACACTGTATTCACCACTTTCATCTTTTTTGTATTTGTGGATTTTTTTTTTATCAAAACATGAAACAACACCTCCATGTGACATAATGCGCCAGTCTAATGAATGCACAGTCGACCGGCCAACCGACCAACCGACCACCAACACCAGCAAACGTAATGTAAAGGCTCCACTTCGTTGCTGTTGTCACAATTATTAACTGACCACTGAGTGGTCAAGTTAAATGAAACTAGCATAGAAAATAGACGGGAAGTTACACATATTTTGCAACCCCAAAGTGATAAAGTCAATACTATGTATATTTGTTTGTACATGTTATATACGTGTATGTAAATTATATTGCTCAGACGAGTGACTGTGTTTCGCCATTAGAGCTGTTTTGGGCAGTAAAAAATCCTTGAATCGCCACAAAATGCAGCAGTCGCCAACGACACGTGCTGCGGTGCAACAACGCGAAGTGAACTCCAAATGCGAGGAAGAATTATTTAAATAAAATGTTGTTTTACATAGAAATATACCCAATGTGCATATATGTATTTGCGAAATTTACAAAATTACATTACGATTAATTGAGATATTTACGTTTAAATGAGAAGGATAAAAATATCTGAATGTCTATATGTACATAAATCGAGCTGTTGGCAAGGCCTGCGCAATGTATAGTGTTTGTTGTTGTTGCCAATTTTGATTATTTGGCTTTTTTATTTGCTCTTCACCTGCCGGCAACCAACCAATTCGCCTTCTTCGTGCAGCATCCACATCCGAGGCAAAGTTGATTGTTTGGCTACCGGCCCAAATGCTCAGTTAGCCACTCGTATTCATTCGTACATACACGTATGTGTGGGTTGCGCGTTTAACTATTTTCGCCATAAACGAAAACTCGCAACTACAGTGTTGCAGCAAAATCGAGGGTCATAGGACATAAATGAGCGCACGAACGAAAGACATGCAAAAATTAATAATTTAATTTCGATAAAAGATTTATAAATACAATACAAAAATTTTTAGTGCTATCTGTATGTGAATGCGCGAATACGTTGGAGTCGTTAAATTTCAAATGGAAAACGTGAATTAATTTTTCATAAAAACCTATATTTCGTTATATATACAAAAATGTCTTCAAAACAGCGAGGCGAGGAAACATATCGACGCATTACACGCGAAAAGCTTGTGCTTCGCGGCAATACTGCCATACGCACCTTGGATTCCACCACATCCTATCTGCCCTTGCTGGCTAGGTGAGTGCCATAACTTATAAAATGAGGACCGTAATACCGATAAGTATCAGCAGCCATTGCATCACAGTTAGATTTATTTTTACATATGTTTTAAATACATACATACATACATACATGTTTTCTCACACATGTACTGTACAATAGAATTTTTATCCGTGTATGTGCGTATGTATGTGTGGCAAGAAATTGATTTTTTCCTCCAACACATTCAACATCTCTGCATCATGATCTTTTCACTTTAACACTGTATCAACAAAAAAAAAAAATAATAATACAAAAATGGCGAAGGCCATAAACTATGGCAAGCCCTCTTGCCGGTTGCGTTGGCCCTACAACAAGTAATTATCTAGACATGCCATTAGGTAGTCCCTGAGACTGTGCATGCAGTGAAGATTCATTTATAAAAAAACTTTTCAAGCATTCACAATTGATAATTACTGTATACATATATATGTACAAACCCATATAATAAATATTCATAGAGTAGTGATCTTTTGACACCAGTAACTAATGCAATTGAAATTGGAATGGTGATGGTAATGAATCTACTAGAAGGCAAATTGCGCTAATTTCACTCTAATTAACAAAAGTTGGTATTTGTGTTTTTAGATATGTAGTTTTGAAGAAGAAATAAAACCGTTCAGTTGGCTTGAATAATTTCCAGACAAGAGGCCAAATTTTATACCATTTTTTGTAGCGATTGGGGCCTTATATAAAAACTAACGCCCAAATATTGCCTTCTAAGGCGCCAATCGACGCGGGCTTATCTGCGTAGACATGCGCCTTCATATAACTGGAAATGACAAAAAATAATCCAGCGGTGTTGAATCGCATGATCTTGGAGGCTACGTCACCAGCACACGACGAGAGATACTGTGTTCACCAAAAGCTTTTTTCAATAAATTGACCGTTTCGTTATCTTAACAATTCTGGATTATCATCACAACAGGTGCGACAATTTTGTTTATTACCCATTTAATCAAAAGTTAGCTTCATTGCTGAACAAAATTTTCTTGTAAAAATATATTGATCGGTGACCATATCGATTTTGGCCCATTCACGCCTGATGGTCATTCGTATAGATTTCAAAAGCCCAAAAAGCAAGATCCTTCTGCAAAATCTTCCATAAAGTGGATGAGCACAGGCCCAATTGTTGCGCGGGACAGCGAATGGACTCATGAGCGTCTTCCTCGATACTCTGCTCCACAGCAGCAGTAGCTTATTGGGTACGCATCATCCACTAGAGTAAACGCTGTGGGAATTCGATTCGTGGTTGCTCGAATCACCGACTCTGTTGGACAATTATTTTGACCGAATATTGGACGCAGCGCGCAAGGCATCGCTTGAACTGTTGTTTTGATAATAAGTTCCCACAATTCGCAAATGTTTTTCCGAAATAAGTCTGTTCATTATGAAATGACAAAAAAACTGAGTGTAATTCAAAAACAGCTGCCGAAAAGGTCAACTCCGAAAAAAGTATAGTCTCATTGAAGACTACATGTCTGAAAAAACCATCCTCTAGATCAAGCCTTGGTGGCTCAGCATCTAGCCCCTTCTACTTTTGAACGATCGAGTGTGTGGTGTGTGCCCTGTTGTTTTCATAATACACTTAGGGACTACACTTTATTCTAGGCAACCTTCGAATGGCTGATGGATTTTTTAAGGAGCTTTTATATAATGTCAAAAGTAAACTCGAAGGAGCTTTCAATCCCTTCCGAGGGCCAAATACGTTTCGAAGAATTTGCATAAGTTGTATACCTTATATAATATATATATATTTTTTTTTGGTACGAAGTCAGAATGACGAGTTGCGTTGGCTGAACCATGTGCGCAAACTAGTCAAGTAAGATCGCATCAAAAAATCATATAAGAGCGTGAAACTTAATAATATGAGCCCATATAATGAGGTACGCATCGGACACCGATCTTTTCAGATATGAGGGCTTGGCCAAAACTCCTTCGAAGTATCCTCAATACCCCATTAATGATAAATGTACATATAAATTTACAAATTTATGTACCGGTATTTGCATAAGTGTTCGCTCATATACCCCTGTATGCATTACGGTCTAGATGTAAGCGGACACATATAAACCTTAATAACACGACGCTTGTACTCGTTTATACATATGTGTGCAACATAGCGATTTTCCACCCCAATTACTGAGGTTGACCGCGGAAGGATACATACCTATGTACATTTAACATGAAAACTTCATAATGAAGAGAACGAATACCGTTTGGCGTTTAAATAATTACTATTGTATAAACACATTTAAAGCTCCTATCAAAATTATTGACTCGGCTTGGCTATTTTTGTCATTTCTTTTTGTTTGGAGTCCGATAAGTTTATTGTACTTATCAGCGAATTCGCACATACTTTACATATCTGGCACGTAGGTATATGTGCACATCTATTTATATATATGTGCATAGGCATATACATAAGTAGTTATGGAATGTTCGTCAAAATATTAACTTCATAGACATTATTTCAGCAGTCGGCCAGTCATTCAGTTTTATGTATGTACGTGTATGTATGTTATTCTTATTAAATTGTTACATGCTAAAATGCAATTAACGGCATACATTGAAATACTGGGACACATTTAAGAGAGTATCTCAATATATACTAGTTTTTATGATAGTTTACAATGAGCAATGGAGAGAAAGTCGGTGTTTTGTTGGGGCGCCTTCCAAAGTACATTTTAAGTTCACTGCGAGAAGTTGGTGTATTTTCATAAAAAAATATTATTTTCGTGCCAAATAACATTCTCTGCCGAGGGACAATCTTATATGCATCTTGATGTTTTTCCCACAAATGGAGGGATCTACGATTAATACTTAGACGCATTCGAACAGCTGATGGTTTATTTATGAGGAGCTACCGAGAGGCGGCCGTAATTAGAAAATTAAACTTAATTTTTTATTTAAATTAATTTTCTATAATTTTTGGTTCTTGGTCGGACCTGGTCTCGAACTTTGGCCTGCTGAAAGGCAGTACGCAAAACCATTACAGCTAACCCCTGCGGGTTAGGGGCTCTAGAATTTACCCGCGGTAAGGCATGCCTGTTGTAAGAGGCGACTAAAGTCCAATAGTTCCCGCGACAGTCTGGTCTTTATACCGGAACGACCCAAATTTTTATCCGGCCAAGAACTGTCACTCCCGCAACATTCCCCAAAAAGTACTTTGGGGAATAATTTTGCGGTTACAACAACAACAACAGCAACAACACCATTACAGTTTGTATAATATTTATATAAAAAATTTCTCAAAAATAAATATATAACTGGTGCTTTATAAGAAAGTCGTACTAAACTAGCTACTACTTTCCACTGCCTTTAAAAATATCTGAAAGGGATAATTTGAGCAAACCGTGTTGACTTTAGTGGCTCAGAAACACCGTATAGTGCGAACCAAACGCGATATTTGTGCTGTGGAGCAGAGTATCGAAGGAGGTCCAAATGAGTCCAACTGCCATTGCTCACAACAATTTTTGATCCTTATTTCTTCAAAAATGAATGAAAGTCCATAATAAGAGAACTTTTTTTTTGGGTTATTAATGAAGTCACTTGCACTCGCAGATAAACCCGAGACCATTATTGACACGTCGAAAAAGAATTCTTGGCGCGTTATTACTGACATACTCGTAAAAGGCCCAAAATACTACAAAAAGCAGTCTAAATTCTGGGTTATAACATTAATTTATAAGCTTTTTACTTTCTCTTGAAAATCACAAGCCTAATAAAATATCCATTTCCTAATGTCAAAAATAGAGATTTTCTGTATATCTCGACTCCAGACTCACCTAGCGACTCCATTTTTTGAAATAATACTCCGGGTCAGGGTACCTGCTTTGTGAGCCAGATTTCTTCCAAAAAGTATGCATATCCTTTTACTGGCTGCAGCCAATTCAGAGAATGGAATTTAAAATATCGCTTTTTTTTACAAAACATGTTTTGAAGAGTCAAGAAAGAATGCCTTAAGAATAACCAACTTATACGCAACTCCATCGGTTGTACGAGCAGCGGTAATTAGAAAGAACAAAAGCCGAAACTTTCAGCCGAAACATACATATCAACACGAATAGCAATTGTGGAACTTCCGATTTAGGGGAAAAGCAAAAACAGCAAGAAGACGCATTTTGCAAAGGTAAAAGCATACTAAAGCATAACTAACAAGTAAAAAGTATAATAAAAACAAAAAAAAAAAATCAAAAGCAGCACAAATGCCACTTCCTTTAACCTGAATACACATTCAAGAAATTACATGAACGCGAGCATATTTGTGAGTGCGTTGCATTGTGTTTTGCCGTGCCAGTGAAATAAAAACAATAAACAAGTGGTCAGCGGCTTCAATGTCTCCACCTGCTGCACACCACGAATATTTCGGTTATTTTCTTATATTTACCAGTGCTCCCCTAAAGGTAATTTGCCTGTTTAGCTAAAGGGTGGCATTTTAGGTGTGTGTGTTTGTCAATCTTTCGAACATATTTAAATACACATTGACTTGTTTATGTACATACACTCGTATATGCATGTGTTGTGGCTTATATGTCTTCAGCATTTGTTATACAGTTAATAGAAGCAACTTTTTTTTTGTGGCACACCACGACGCGACGCAACGTAACCTCTCCCACTCAACCGCCACCCAACCAGCTTTTCAATTGTGTAAATGACCATTGTTTGCGCGACGACGCCGCCAATGACCGCTGCCTCGGACGCGACCAGTTGGTCGGTTAGTTAGTGTTTAGTGTTCGCGGCAAATGGTCACTAATTTTAATTTCAATGCGCTTACGTACATAGTGATTTACATTATTAGCCAAATACTTATTTTTGCACTGAAAATCGTACAAACAGTTAACACAAAAAAAAAAAATTGTATGAAAATCAAATTAATTACAGTTTATGTTTAATATGAATGCTCAAAATTGGATGGGCATGGCATTGGAGCAACCATTCAGTGAGCAGAGCATTACCTTCGCGAACACCAATGCCAA